GTTTCTCATCTCAAACACTCCCGGCGGCTTCTGGCTGCGGCCTTCGAGTAGCTTTCACAAACCTTTTAGTGCTATGTACAAGCGCAGTGAGTTGTTGTTTCCTTGCTTCTGAGTGACCAGACACAGTGGGACTCGCAAACGTGGCTGCATTCAGAGTTTTACACTTAGGCACTTGAACAACACGGTTATCCGTGCTTCCGATGTGTTAGGCTAACGATTGACGCGGCGTTCTCTTGCTGTACATCCGGCCTTCCCTGCGTTGGAGACTTTTGTGCAACTATCAAAATGACGGTGCTCCTACCATATCAGACACAAAGAACTAGTTGTGGACGCCGTCTACCGTAGTCCGCTGACTCGTTGTTTAGATTGGCTACCCTATATTCGAATCCACATGAGTCGTCCACACTTCCTACTTATGGGTGATTTTAACTGTAATCGAATACGATGGCCCGATATGCACTTGATGATCGGACATGATGAGATTGAAGCGAAGTTCGTGGATATTTTGCTTGAAACTAGTGAATCGCAACACATTTCCCAGACAACACGCATAACATTACACACAGCCTCATCCTTTCTCGACCTAAAGTTCAAGAGTTACGAACAAGGAGGGCGTGACATTCGGATTATAGAGCCTCTTGCTGCAAGTGATTACTCAGTGCTCATAGCTGATATGAAATTATTGTTACCATAGTCACGTTATCTGGTACTTACTTACAACTACTAAAAAACGGACACTGACCGTCTAACTCGAGCCGTGAGCTAAATGGATTTGTCTCTGTCCCTAGCTGTACCGGCGGAATACTGTTAGACATTTATACAAGAGGGATTAACATCGTTTTGTTCTTAATATGTGCACTTAAAATGTCGGAAGCTTCGGCTCATTAAGCCCCTCTGGGTTGTCAAGGAGTATATTGATCTGACTCCTAGCTTGCGCAGATTGTGGGGCAAGTTTCTCCTAATTGACGCTGCCAATGAATAGAAAGAGTATAAAGTCAGTAAAACCTCTGACACCGTGTAAAAAGGAAAGAGTATGGACATTTTCAAGAGCAGCTTGCAGTCATCGCGAAAAATGCCCCAAAGAGAGTTTTGCTTAGGTAAAACGACGCCTGAATCCGGCAGACAATTTGTCCTTAGTGGACGGCCCAGACGGACAGAACCTAACCTCCAGCACTTGGAGTACGCCCGTACTCACAGCTACTTACGCCTCAGTATTTGCAAATGATAACGCATCAGTTCCCAGTACGAAGAGTATCGATTTCACTGTACTCGTCTGTTCGGATTTTGACTTTGTGAAAGTATCTCAAGTAATCGCCCGCCTTCACAGCACCAAACCTCTTGGACCACTGGTTTTCAAGTCACGTTTAGCATTATCTCTACTGTCGTGACTGAAGTTTCAACAGGTCGCATCTCGAAGGTTTGTTGCCGAATGACTGGCAAAGTCCGGTGGTGAAGCTTATTCCGAAAGGCGGCGACCATAGCAAAATTGAAAACAACAGGCAAATTTGTCTGACAATTATTTTGGCAAAACTTGCTGAGAAAATCGCAAAAATGGATTATTGCAGTTGCTATTGTCAAAAGAGATATTGTGGCCCGCACAGCAGGGTTTTGTGTATGGCCAACCATGCATTACAAACGTCCTTGTGACGAGTCGTGAGAGCTTGAAGGCAATTAGCTAGGGGTGGTCTGTTCAAGTGATATTGGTAGATTTCAGTAACTTTTGCCAAGGTCAAGCATGAGGTTCTCCTTAACAAACTCAGGATGTGCGATGTTCGCAGCTCACTGAAACGGTGGAGCAACGACTTTCTTGTTGAACGAACTTGGACGGTACAGGTCGACGACCATCTAACTTATTGGTATCCTGCTACAAGTGGCGTGGTTCAATGCACAGTGCTGACGCCCACTATGTTCCTGATCCACATCAGCGATCTACCTCAGCTTCTCCGTTCGCCGTGTGCCTTATTTGTTGACGACATGAAGTGGTTGGGAGAAACCGACTCTCTCGAAGATTGTGGAGTACATCAGCAAAATATTAAACGTCGGTTTACAGAAGATCATCCGGTCAACCCAGCCAAAGTATTATGGAGCACGGTTTAAGATGCTGACGGCCGAATCTATACACTTGACAGCCAAATGCCATACCCCACACCCTCCGTGTAGGACCTAAGTGTACTCACGCGCTACGATTTGTATCTGTGGAAAACACGAACAGGCTAAACCGTAAGAGTATGTGCATGCTTTGAGCGCTCAACCGTTGCTTCTGCACATGGTCTGAAGAGGTTGACACTGGCATCTTCCCTTCCTTCATTAGATACATGATAGAGCACGGTTAACCGGCCTACCTTTTTATTACTCAAGGTAAGGCACAACAGATCTAACGGGTCTAACATGCTGCTACCAGGTTCAGGTTGAGTTTACGTGGCTTATGTTATGAAGAGCGGTGCGAGAAACCTGGACTCTACGCCTTGTCCTACCGTCAGGAGTGTCAAACTAATTACGACAGACTGTATTCCACATATCGGTGACCACCATGATGAGGCTAATGCTGCACTTAAGAGGGGCACGCAGCATATGTAGACACAGATACAAACTTGCGCCGCCGGAAGTGAAAAGAGTTCTAAACCCACTGTGCTTTGAATGCAAAGGGGTAAATATTTCAAAACATTTCCATGAAAATGTGACTGAGGCAATATGTGTGCAGCGGATAGGAAACCATATTTTAGTTAATATTTTACAGATATTTGATTCAGAAAAGAATTTTACACTTCTGATAGCATTACACATTTGTGAGTCCTAAGCTACAGTGATTCAGAAAGTTTAAATTTTTGGAGGACGATAAATATGTACGCGGCTGACAATATTGTAAACTTTTCTTCCATACCTCAAAAGAATAGAGTCGAATTAAGTTCTACCGCTATAGTAGCTCATTTATTACTCGGTATTCACTGTAATGCTTTAAGTCATATCATCTAATTTTGAAAACCGTTGCTTATGATTCCTCGGTTTTGGACTCATTATAAACACATGACATCCATTGATCCCTAACAGGTTATTAGCATTTGCAGACGATTTTTTCGGTATTTGGTTGAGAAAGAAGAGGTTTTGATACACACCAAATACACTTAACAGTTGCAGTAGGTATGCAAGGACATCTAATTAAATATATTTTCTCCCACCTAGATTTGGAGGAGGAAAGTGTGGCGCATGGCGCATCAAGTATACATTGCACGTTCGTACAATTATTAGCCAAAATAAGGCATTTCGGCAAGACGGATCGTTGGAAATAAACTATAACACATGGCAGTTGAGGTGCTTTATGAAATTGAAATGCTTTTTAAAAAACACATGTTAAAATCATTGTGGCATTGATGTGTTTTGGTCAGCATTTGCAAGCGGCTGCAAGAAGCATTTCATTTTTAGGGTACATTTGTGCTTAGAGGTAAACTTACGCCGTTTCGCAAAGGAATATGTGTTGTGGTATTAAAGCGACACTAACAGAATCGGAGTATTTCAGTTATTATTACACACCGATTTACACAATTTGAAGCTTCGGATGTGTGATATACCCGGCGGCAGGGCGGCAATTTCCGTCATTCCAGCTTACAAACATGCTGCTCAATATATTGCAAAGTAGCACACTGGAGACAGCTTAAGACTTATTCATTGAAATTTCATGTTATTGGAGTTAAAAGCGTACCAGTTCAAGACCCAATAATTAAAAATATTTCTATGGACCAAGTAAGCTGCGCATTTGGTGAATGAAATTTATCGAGAAACCACTGGCAGAACGGATGTGCCTGCGGTTTTATAATACATTGCCGACAAATTATCAACTCCAAAGGAATTTAATAATTTGTTTAATCTAAGGCGAAATTTGAAAGAGAGACACGGTAGTGGTTTGAGCTTGAGCGGAGATGCCTGTCATTTATAGAAAATTGTGCAATGTCAGCGAGACTTAAACATTCTTAGATGTGGTTTAATTGAAGCGGAATCAGTCATATTGTAACATGCAAGTCAGACACAAAAAGGGCTTCGACAAGCATTACCTATATGATGTCCAAATAAATGGAATTCCTAAACAAGAAGGATATTGTAAGAAAATTTAAATACACGGTATTGGCAACAAACTGAAGAGCAAAGCCCTACAGTAGTGTTACTATGATTTTATCGGTGTGAAGGAAACAATTTTATGCAGCATTGTGACGTTGTAAAAAGTGTTGTAATGTGTGTTATTGGCCGATCATGAATAAAGTCTAGATAGTTATTGCCGACATATCGTCCAAATAATTAGATTTCCAATAACTAGGTTAATCACGAAGTTATAGTCAAATGTAATTAAATTTTGCTATAGTTACTATTTCACTACCGGATAAACATTTATATCTTAAGCAAAATCTTACCTACAAAAGAATAATCAATCAAGTTGTGCCGTTCACTTGCGAAAACTTGCTTGTGAATTGAGGAAAATGAACCGCATGTTGGACACATGCATTTAAATTTAGCTTGTACGTCGTAATGGAGGTGGCTAACAAACCAAACTGTTGCGTAATCATTGGGAAGACGCTTGGTAGTCAAAATTGTTAAGCGGATGCTGCACAAAGTTTTATAAATTAACAAACTTTATTGTTATTGTTTGGGAGTAATAAAAGAACTGGGAACACAGGAATGGCCTTTCAATGCCGCATAATTTGTCAAGTCCTTTACTATCGCTATTACAGAAAAAAATCTGTTAACTAGTGCTTGAAAGCAACACGAAGAATATCATTTAACTCACAACATGCCAGAGCGAATTACAAGTCAAAATTTCAGAATAAATAGTGTTTCAATTTTGCTAACATTTGCCTAAATATATAATGCTTGCACTGTTAATATTGGCAAAACAGCAAAAATAACAAACATTAAATGAACAAAAGCTTCAAACGTAGAACGCTTTATATTCTTGAAAAGCAAATACCATGACAAACAATTTGAATGTTTCAAAGGATATTCATGGTTTTACATTATCCAAAGGAAACAGCGTTGATCATCAGTATAGGCAGAATGCAGATCATCATTGCTGGAAGTGCTGAACGTCTCGAACACCCTGTAGTTACAATACAATGGAGGAAAATTCAAATTACTTTTAATACAAAAATATCAAGACACCGAAATCTTTAAACGTTGTTCATTGAGTATTTGTCGCCTTAAGCCGCGAAGGTGAAAAATAACAAACTTATGACTTCGATATTTGTCCATTCTACTTGTTTTTGTTGTACACTGGGGTAATACGAATTGGATTGCTCCAAGAAAATGACACTACGTAGATCTATGCTGTAATAAACGCATCCATTTTGTCAGCATTACATTTCTTTTTACTTGATATTAGACCTTAATGCAATCAAAAGTCAGGTAAAGTTAAGGAATTAAAATTGTTTCGTAAGCCTTAGATTTAATGAAGTTAGCCATTTTCCTGTTATATTTGTCTAATTTTGAGCATCGGGTATAAAAGTGAAATCCATACACGGACTAAAATAGCGAGACAGCTGTTTGACTTAAGAAGCATAATCCGACCGAAATCAAACAAATTACTTGCTTATTTCAAGATTCTTTTTTAACTGACAGGATGCGAATTATTGGCTAGTTGAGAGAGAGTACGATATTTTGAAAGGGAAAACACCTGTTACTCTAGTTAGTCGAATTTCATTTGCTTGCTATATTGTACTGAAAAACAATCACGATGGCAATTAAAATAAATAGCGGTCGTCTACTTTTCGATTATACTTGAGTTGTAAGTAAATAATTGCATGTAGCTAGATTCCAGACACACAAGTGTATCGTTGATGTTCTGAGCACCTTATTTTTCTATTATTTCTCGGTACTTGAGATTTTGTTATCCCGAATCTTAACTTTGAGTGCAGAGCAGATGCAAATATATATCCGGTTTTTCTTAATAACACAGAGGAGCGCACTATATTTTCAAGGTAAACAACTTTGTGATTTACATTCGATTAAATACGTAAAAACGAAAGCAGTAGTACACTGTTCAAACCTGGTGGACCGTCTTGATTGGTTATTTTCATCATGAAAGAATTGCTTATGCCGCGTCCCATCGCAATGTTGCTGGTAGTCATTATAAGAATCATTTTATAGTAGCAACGTCCACAAAAATGATTTTATTTGGTTCATTGCAGTTAACTTGAAATCAGGAACTGCTAGCTACCAATCGGAAATTCATTAGATGATCGTTTCCGCCTATTGTGCTACGTCAATTGCACGTGGTCCATTAACATTATGACCGCTGATGCTTCGCTACACAAAGTAGCAGACTATGCCACTGAGCCATGTGGTACGATTTTAGACCAGTACATATGCAATAATAACTGCGATATAGCCAGGCACATCCTCCACTGTCATGCATATCATAGTCCTCGTATTGGAGAGCCGTGGCTGTCAGATATATCAATTTTGTCGTTACCGTAATTCCACAGATCATTTTGCGCACAAAAAGTGCTAACATTTGACTACAAATGAGTAGACGGATAACAATCCTGAAATATGTTTGCGAAAGTTCTAACTGTAAGCAATCGGACCAGGTACATCAAGTTTATTCTGCAAGCTGGAATATAAAATCGTTTATGTCATCGCTTAGCAATTTAAAGCGATAAGGTTTTAGGTTTTCTGGAAATAACATAGCTTTGGGAAACCGGCTTCGTATTATTATCAACGAGATAAAAATCAAAGGTTGTATATAACGGTCGATAAAATGATGTATGACGTAAGCAGCTATAAAATAACCCCGGAAACCTCGATTTTATATTATGCTGTCTCCTGATAACTATTCGAGTGGTTAAATCTATTTGAATTTGAACTACACGCGTGTTGCTATGTAACATGTATGTAGTTAATAAATAACTACATTTTTAACAATATTCCTGCTGCTTTTGGACTTTGTCCTACCTTGCGCACATGCATGAAAAGCCAAATAATACCGTGAATTTTCGGATATAGGTTCCGGTCCTGTAAAGTATTATTTGCAACTCAGCAACCTTCGCTACCTGTTGGTCAATTGCTTAACGTTAATGATTGAGCGTTAATGATTGAAAGTCACTAGGTTGGTGCACGTGGCGGCATGGCTCACTACTGTGCGTTGTCGAATAACATAAAGTCGCGGACAATGTCATTATGCCCTGGCAAATCTCATCTTCGAGTTGAACTCGTTATGACACACCGGAAAATTATTGGGCAAATTCACTATGTTAAATCCGCTATCTCACCTACGCGTATTTTGCTGTTCATATGATGCATGACATTGAGTAGAAAACTGACAGTGAGTTAAGAAACGAAAATCGAATTATGTATGCCTCAATTTGTTCACATGAAGCTTATTGGTTAATCAAAACAGAGCGATATCAAAGAGGATAAATATACTCACTAGGTGAACTGTTCCTACCCTCTGTCGAAGGCCTCCGTTTGGAGGCTGTGGATCTTGACGGCGATGTGCGGCTGGATGTAGTGCCTTGAGCTGTAAAACATATTTCAGTATACGCTCTACAATGGTTATAAAATATTCACCTTGAATTTATTTCTGTTTCAGAAAATATAGTCCTCTAGCTCAAGAAGAATACTAGGCGAAAAAGACGAACAACTACTGCGTATCATGTCAGAATATTTAACAAATAAACAGAAAAGTTAGTCATTCTTGGACATCTCCGTATAAAAATTTAGAATAATCAAGCTGTCCAATGGTTATTTCAAGAATAAAAACGGAGAAACTAAAGCCACACTGAAGTATTGTTGACAAATAGCGCAGCTGAATTAGGAATAACGAGCAAAAATTTATAAAGAATATAAGATGTTACGTGCAACTTCACATATAGTGCTAATTAGAGATTGCCACAAAAATCAGATCAACGTGTTTTACACACAAGTTCACGCGTGCAACCATTCATTCTCTCACTGCATGTTTGCATGCATGTACTATCAGTGATATTCTGCGGAAAGCAAGATGGAAAAATCTTGTCATCTCCGTCGATTACAAATTATTCAGCGTTTGAAGCTCTCACCACCTTACAGTGTTCCTAATGAGTTCGTCGCAGTTGCAGTGACGACAGCAAGCTCTAAGCTTCTTAACAAATGTTGTTCTCACAGTAATCATCCAAACAAACAATTTTCTTAAAGAAGGTAGCGTTCTCCTTTCCAGGGCCAGCTTCTACTAACCGCCCTGCAATGTGCTAAGATCAGAAAAAATAAAAACTACAATGTCGATCACGTGAGCGGCATTATAAGAAGAAACCCATATATGTGGTATGCACCCTATGGAAGAGCGTATTTATTCCGGTATAATAACAGTTTTGCACTTGGCAGAATAGTTTGGAGGCTGGCTAGAGCCCCTTTTCTTCTGTCCCCAAATTAAAGTATGCATTCAATTGAACATATCGTGATGCCATCCCTATGGATCTAGAAATCTATCTAAAGTGCTTTACGAAGATAGATGATGTAGTTTAAAACCTGGACAAGCAATCAAGTTGTGGAACGCCACAAGCAATAGCCCCAGGATTTCAGAGGTTTCGGTTAAACTAACAGTACCAAATAATAAAAACAGCGGCAATCAAAGTGGGAAGTTGTTATGTAATGCAAATACATGCAGGTTGAAAGCCGGTGAAGGTAGTAGACTCTTGCCAAGGCAGTACTCAAAAGAGCAACTTCAACCCTGCAATGTTTCAGATAATTGTGCGTTATACTATTGATTCCGTAAGTTACGTAAGTTAGAACTGCACGCAAGTATTCCATTTGCAGATTAGACGGGGGTAATTAGGAAGATGACATACGGATCTGAATAGTTTAAGAAAAATGAAGTCAGAAATATTGATGTATTTTACTTTCCTTGACTAGAACATTCGTGTCCCATTAATAAGCTATTTTAATGCACGTTATTGAGTGGAAATGCTACACGGATTCTCAACTAAATACCAAACATATTTTGTGGGATGCCGTAAATATGAATTGTTAATGCAGCGCTATGCAATTATATATATGAATTTTGATTCGTTATGTAAGTTCTTACTCATTTGTTTTATGGATGCAAATTCCACCCAGATTTCGGAGCAGCTTTCTAACAATTACAAACATTTATTCAAAGATAACTCAGATATTATTCCGACACATCTAGTTTCTGAACAGATTCGTCACAGGTACGCTCAGCCAGCTAGTGGCCGCACAAACAGGAAAAACAGGACGACTTTATCGTCTGATGGGAAATCTTGAAACTGCGATCTCACACAATTATGCAGGATAAAGCTCCATGAAATTAACAAACATCCCGTGTAACTATAAAAATTTAGGGATGTGATGCTCTTGTGATGCTCATGCAATTTGATACACAAATGCTAGATAAAGAAGCTCACCCTAAACTGGCGTGAATGTATGCAAGCGCAGCTTAGTTGAGCAGCCACTCAAGGGTACGATTGCTTGCAAGCAGCCAAGAATAGGGTTTAGATCTAGGCACCAAACGCGATTACACAATATTAGTGAGGACAGCTGAATTTATTGTGTTATGAGATCCACGAGGCTTCACTCAGAATGACATCTACCATTGACACTGGAAAACCGTGAGCGAAGAGTTCATCCGAAACGGACAAGTCAAATAAGAGCATTTGTCTGATTCTGTGGAGGTCGTAAACATGATAGCAACTAATGCGTATGTCGTAAGAGAAGGCAGGTAAAAACAAAAACTCATATACAATAAAGAAAATGTAACGCTGCGAAGCAAATTTACAAACAAGATGCTCGTGTGTCTACACAGCTTATACAGTGTGCTCACTTGCTGCTCTGGGTCCTCTATCGTTCAAATTCGTCACCGCTCCAACTTCCTGGGGTTCTGTGTTAGATGCAGCTGAGGAATTTGGGAAAAGCAATGTTCTCCGCATAAGTTGAAGTTTACACAAATGAGGAAGCGCTGTTCAGTGGATCAATATATGTAGTACGGTTACTACAGATAATCACGAACTTTGCGACGGTAATCATTGAAAACCAAATTCTGATTTCAACAAGGAAAATAAACAAACTTTCAAACGTGGAATATCCAAAGTTTCAATTTTCACTTATTTTTGTATCCCATTGAAAAGTCTGTCATTTTCAAAACAGTTAGTAAAAATGGTAAAAATTCTTATATTAATTTGCGTTGGTGTGTGAAGAATTTTGAAATTTTGATAGCGAAATTCATGAAAGTCCTCCGCCACTAGGTCACGCGGTTAGCAAAACTGACGGCAAAATTCCAGCTGGCTCAGCTGTTTGGCTCAATGCAATTTACTTCCTCGGAGTGATGTTTCGTTATTTATTTTCCACTTTTACAGACACGCGTTGATTGGATACTTTGAGATCTGAAATCAAATATGTGCAACACGAGTAACTATTCTACCTCTGAAAAATCCTAGAGCATGTAGTATAAGTTCTCATTAGAGATGAGTCAAGTCCATAAATTACTGGGTTGTGCTTCTCTGTGGAATCGCAAGGCGAGCATGTTCGTTCTTGGCCAGTGGTGCCAGATCTGGATGGCATATACAAATGTGACCTCACGTAACCATTGAGCATTTGTGAAAACATAGTGTGATCATAACAGACAAACCATATTTAAATAGACAGCGTGCTGACTGGCTTATCTTGGTGTAATTTTGGCCGGTTTTATTCTAACCGTGGTCTTCCTTTACGAGCAATCTATGGATAAATTTATGACAGACGCGTTAAAATATATGTTTCCGTATGTGGATTTTGATAAGTGCCTGGTATTTGGCGGTGTTGTAATCCAGCATGTTCTGAACGGACAAATTCTGATCCGTGTAAAGACCACCATTTAATGGCAAATAGTCGTTAAACTTACTGGTAGCCGAAGACTTTGAGATTGTACAAAAGGAGCAAACTTTTTGTGGATATCGCTCCCAAGTGGTCGTTAATGAGGACTAAATGTTCCTTGTACTAGGACTGAAGCTATTGCTCGCCAAATAACACCACTCTCGGGCCAGATTAGGCGCATTTAACTCTCAAGTTTGGGTGAAATTTGCGTAAGCATGTCCTTGTCCTACAAAAGAACGGGTCGCCTATATCATGACTCTAAATAATGCGAAAGAAGACGTTCTGTTCAAAGCTTTCGAGGAAAGGTGATACAGAACGCTTACTCAAAACTGAGCGTCCACAGATTCCGTTCACCAGGCATGGGCTGCAAGTCGTTCGCGGTACATGAGCGATTTCAACGTAACACGTGTTGCGCTGACACAAATATGCTGCAGCTATTTATATATGATAGGAGAGCCTCCGCGATTTGGAAATGTACGAACAAACATTTTAACGAATAATTACCATACGCAGTTAGCGGTTTCAGCGTTTTTGTCCCAGTTGTAGATGGGAGAGGTTACTACATGGTCCCATGGCTACACTGGCCACATTGCCAATTACGGCATGATGTATAGGCGTTAGTGAGATTATCGGGACAAACTTTTAGCCAATCTGTTGGCCGACACTTGCATAGGGTGTACGCCGCCCAGAACACGAGAACTGTGCAAACGCAGTGATATCTGTCACTTTAAAATATCCACGGCGCTAAATGATATGTGGCAAATTCCTGGTAGTAACGTGGTCAGTGTAAAATCTGTAAGGACAATAAATTTGTTCTGGAATATGCAACTGAATTGACGTCTAAGTTCATTGGGCTCTTGTTGGTTAGTGTGCGTTTTCTCGCCTGCAGTGTTCAGAGAGGGGATTGCACGATGTGCTTTTGGGAATATATCGCTAGCCTGTGAAGTAGCTTGTGGTCAGTGTAGTACATTTTTCTTGCTCTTGCCGCTGCTTCAATGTACACTCAAGGATGAGACTAACATAATTAATCCGCTCGGTTACACAGCTCTGCAAGTTCTCGTTGTTCGTATGGAATCCGTAAATTTGACAAATATTGTTATCAACGTCATACATTTCGGAGTCCCACGTCTCAATAAGAACTGCGATTTTTTGAACCGCATATCTTAGCTTCTGATTTAAATGCTGTCAGCGTGCAGAACAGTTAGATGAATGTCTCCTTGCTAACGGCAAGGGCTTGGTTAGATGTTACCGACCAGTCAGCGGTTTTGAAGAGCAATAATATCATTTAATATGGGTAAAGGTAAGAATTTCTAGGTTGTGTCCGTTCGGGTGCTCTGCCTAACAGACTTATTACAAGAGCAATGTCGCTTGATTGCTAAGTCACAACACGTTGCTTACTACTATTCCTTCAATATCTAGTCCACACTGTACAAGGAAACATCAAGAATGGCAGGATGTTCATATCTTCTGAATATATGCTGGGAGGAAATGTGTTAATTAAATGGTAGGCAAGTAAATATCCCATAAACTATGGTCTTTGATTGCTTATTTAGTGTAGTTTAAACCTCGACTTTATGAAGTATCTTACATGGGAATAATGGCTGTTGGGTATTGTCGTAACGGATTTCAGCAAAATCCCATCAATTCAATTTTATATATATAGGCATGGACAACGAACAAGTGTCACCACTTCTGAGTTGCATGCGGCACCAAAGAGAGACAAAAATTGGAGTCTGGTTTTTAGTAAGTTCGAAATGCAACTCACTGCGAAGGTACAAATATACACCACGTCGCCAACTTGTTCGATCATTTAGTTGTGCGAACATATATAGTAAGGCGATCTCGGCATCCGTGCTTTTTCGTTAGGCCAAATTTCGGTTATAATGTTTAGGCCCCAGTGCTTGAAATAATTGCTGAAGTGCCTTTAAGCATTAGTTAAAATCAGCGTAGTTTTTAGAATCCTAGCGGAACGTGTGCAGACAATGGATTTAGTGCGGATTTAAGCCGATATGTGGGAGGTGGGCAAGTAATCGGTTTTGGTTTAACTACAGATTTTGCACTCCAGCTCACCGCATCCCGTCTGAATGATAGTGTACTCGTTAAGTTCTAGTTAATGTGGTCAATAGACATGTTGTTTTTTCCGGGAATTTCTAGCGTGGACCGTAACAGCACGTCGAAAAATCAGGTCTGCTAGGTTGCACATAATGCTCACTTATTTTGCTCTGTCATGGTCCCATGCAATCTTGTGTGAAAGGCCTGTAGACAAATATCAGATAAGAGCTTGCTTTGACGATTGCATTGCATGTCGATAGAAAATGTCGCTGCGCAGTTGAACTAAAGCAAGACATTTAAAATGCTGGTTTAAATCCTTTGTATTCTGGTGATTTTGGCAGCCTTAAACTCGATTTGGCTGTCAAATTATGAAGTTAGATCTTTGCATTTTTGCAGTGCAACTCCTCCCAATCATTGGATTGACTTGTAGTCGGTTTACGTTCTCTCAATTGCAAAGTTATTTTATTCGCATAGTCGTGAACAAAGTGACGATTTCGATTTGCATTCGTTGTACTCCACGATGCGAACGCTCCCAGTAGAACTACCATGGGTGTTGCATATGCAATTAAGCGATGGTGGTGCAACAGCTTCTAAATACGTCCATCTATACCGACCAGGTCTAAGAGTCTGCTCTGAGAGTGACTACCACAAATGAATGTGCGAGATAATCTTGTGCAATAACTCGTATTTGTACCTCCTCAAATGCTTACATCGTTATCTTAAATACGCAGCCGCCCAACACAATTTATGGTAAAGGAGGTGATCCCATCTTGGCTGGGTTGCTAAGTAGAACTCTCTAACTCCAAACGACTTAACATACCATATACCAGCTGCGGTCGTTCAGAGTCGAAGTGCACACATATCTTATGAAACCCCTCAGCATCATGCTGCACAAAACTGAGCTTACCAGACGCCAGCTCTAATATATATGCTACAAATTTGCCTGAATTTAAATGGAATTTCTGTTCAATAGCAAACCTGCAATAATTTTGCTAAGAGTAATATTTAATTTATTAAACTTTTTTGAAGTAACATTTTAGGGGCCAGCATGTGAAGCTCACTCATCCTACTCTCATTCCATATGCGGTGGTGACGTCTCGTTCCCAGCAGCCTGCAACTTCCCCCAGCATTCAATTGGATTAAGTCGATAACACAAGCCCATCGTTAATGTCTGTGAACCAGGGCGCCAGCGTAAAACATCACGCCAACCAGCGCAACTACATCGCTCGGTGGTCAGCCCTAACTTGACGTTTTGTCTACATCCCTTATTCGACAGTTGTGCGTAATCGACCAACATCAACCAGTGCAATGTGCTATGTAGCAGGAATCATGTAGTTGCCTAATTAAAATAGCTCCAGACAAAATATAGTCGTAGTGTAAACGAAATCTAGTCTGTTGATCAAATCTGATTTAGCCAGCCCACCGTTTCAAATGGTGCTTAGCAACGTGTTTATATATTATTACTATCAGCAACCGCACGCGAAACGGCCTTTTAATTTGAACTGCGTGTTCGCCAATCCTAATAGTGAAACGCACAATTATACTACACCAACTTCGGGACGGCACAGGAGAGGAAGATGAACAGAATATGAACGTTCAACTTATATCACTGAGAAGAAGTACGCGCCCGCACTGCTCTGCGATCTCAAAGAAAAGCATAAATGTAAACTTTGCTTCGTCCAAAATGCGATTGTCTAAGTGTCCATTGCCTCTAACTCATTAGTATTTGTAAAACCAACCAGACGATAACAGATCGCCGCTCTGTTAGTAAATCATACTTTATACCACAAAAATCATGCACCACAATAAAAGTATGTCTTAGCCAAACCGCACCTTTTGAATCATTATGTTCCTTAGGTAGGATAAAAACAGCCGGACACGGAACTTCCGCATCTATGATTTAATGGACTCATGCGGAAATGGAATCACCACGGAATCCTGTCAACAGTTTGTGACCGCAGTCCAATCTCTCGGATTGCCAAATTCTGCATCTCATCTCTTACAAATCCCGCTAACGCGAATGTAA